CACCCTCCGCTCCCACCCCACCTACACACCCATACCCACACCCCTTCCACACACACAGAGACACACAACACACAGAGAGACATACATACATCCGAAGTATGGATGTATAGCATCCAATACAATGGGAATAGTGCCGAAAAGGGTCCTGAAAACTAGGAGCATATACCTTCGTGTTATATCTACATTGTAAATCCTCGCTTCATCTGACAACATACACCCACCTGGAGATCCGGATTAGAATTGGTCTTCAGCAATCCATGCTTGTCATAAGAGGCAACTAACGGGGTCGGTGGCACATGTCATCGTATTCCAATTGCATAGTTAGATGCTCATGATGTTGATCACTGGATTATATGGTCCAAACTGCTGGAATATTGCTGAGTGCGTTAAACAACAAACAAACACACTGACAAAATATAGATATGGATCTTATTAAACAAGGAACAACACCTTGTCGTTTAATGCACAGAGCGACGTTACCATGTACACTCTTCAAAAAAAGAAACGCATAGGTGAATTTGAGAATTGTTTTACTCATGTAGCTGCGGCAAAAACAATACCAATGTACTATTACTTTACGAAACGTCATCTTTGCGTAATTGTAAACAGCTGCAGTGCCAAAACGCGGCAATTTTAACCCACACCCTCATCCTCAGAGTCTGGCATCTAATCGCCAACACACGATTAGCTGCCTGACTCTGAGGGTGTGGGTTCGAATCCCGGATGGGACTCAAGCCAACAAAAGTACTAGAATTTGTACTTTACTAAGAAAGTGTAATCCCAAATATAACATGTGTTACATTTGACCACTTTCTAAATGGCATTGTGTATTCATAGCTTTCGGCTGTGGGAGTCGTGCCAATTATCAGACGCTTATCAGAGGGGTACAGAAAGTCCGCAGTCTAGACTACCAGTTGTCCGACATCCATTTTGTGGAAGCCGCCGTGGCTAAGCTGGTTAGATGGCTGACTTTGTGTGTTAGCGATTTGGTGCCTGAATCTGAGGGTGTGTGTTCGAATCCCGGATGGGACTCATGTCAACAAAAGTACTAGACTTTGTACTTTAGTAAGAAAGTATAATCCCAAATATATCATATGTTACATCTGTCCAGTGGTATTGTATAGTCAGTTTTAACCATATTAGAAATATTCGCCAAAACGTCACCAAGAAAACATACAAAGTCAAATGGTCGTTCAAGTAAGCAGAAAAGCATGCGGTATCGATTACTATGAAAAGACAAACCTTGTGTTTGGATTTGTCATTCGTTTTTGCCTGGAAAAGAGGAAATCATCATGTCACGATTGAGTGCCACCATTCGAAACATCGGCATAGGCTGCCTTGAAGCTGGGAGCCGCAGTGTACAGTCGCCTGGCTTTTCAACGTTCATCAGAGCACATATCTCGCCGTTGGGATCGTTTCTAGAGAAGCGTCTTGCCATAGCCGTGAAGACTGCACACCCCATCCCTATTTGAGAAGAATTTCCGACCAAACTGTCAGGAATCGATTACGTGAAAGGGGGGATTCGATCAACAAGGCCAGTTGCCGCCCTTGTTATGAGAGACTTCTATTGGCGCAATCGCTTGTGGTGGTGTCTGGTTCAGGGATGAATCACGATTTCTTCTTTACTGGCGAGATGGAAGACAGCGTGTTTACCGTCGACGCTTTGCCCCTAATTGCATTCGAGACGTCGACATATTCGGTGGAGACAGTGTCATGGTGTGGGGTGTGACATCAAGCACATAAGGATCTGATTTAGTGGTGGTTCAGGGGAAGTTGACAGCAAATCTGTACATCAACGAAGTCCCTGCACGTCACATGCTTCCGATTATGGACCGACAGAGGGAATTGTTCCAGCATGACAACGCTACTTCATATACAGCACGTGTCACGGTCCGCTACCTTGCCAGTTCTAACGTCAAGGTCTTGTCATGGCACTAGATTTAAACCCGATAGAACACATGTGATGAACTCGATCGACGTGTACGTCAACGTCAAAACACGACTCAGACACTTCCACAACTCGCCATCGAATTGCAGGAAGAGTGGCCAAGAATTCTATGTCTGTGCCGAGACGGTGCCGAGCAGTAATTGCTGCCAATGGTGGTCATAGAAAGCATTGACTTGGACGCCATCTTGTGGACTCATGTAAACAGAAACACAACAATAAAGGCTGTTGTTGTGTTGGCGAACTCTTTGTCTATGCACATGTGAATTTACACCCTTTTAAACAGTGAAATCTTTATTTTTGAAGAGTGTATATTCTTACACCTTAGTTTGATAAAGGTACAGGATCAGCTACAGAACGTCGGTCATTGTAATGCAAAAGAAATGGTGTGGTTTTGTGCATAGAGCCTAGATCGCAAATCAGTTGAAGTTAAGCAACGTTGGTCGCGGACAGTCTTTGGATGGGTGATCGTGTTTGGCAACTTGACTGCTGAGAGTTTCTAGGACTTCATTCCTGCCCCACAACAAAGCACACGTGACAAATCTGGTCTCACCTTAAGCAAGTGCGTTTGTTCATGAACTGCCTCTGTTCACCCAGCAGTGAATGAGTACCCGGTGAGATAAGTCATACGACGGTTAACCTTCTGGCAGCTTGGCTTATCCGGGGTAATAATGCGTAACCGCTTTAAGCATACACAAGTGCATGGAAACAGGCGTTTTATAAATGGCCATTATTATTATTACAAGAAGTTGTTATCAATAAAACTGCGTGTTTCCATATTTACTCACTAACTTGTAGAATGCCGATTAAACAGTTAGGATGTTTTTTTGTTTTTTTGATTATTTTTTATTGGTTCCCAAGATTAAAATATTACAGATATACAAAACCGTATTACATACGACTTAAAGTAATATGGCTACATGATGTACAGGTGAGATATTATGTATTAATATTTTTACAAACATGCATAATTCATTAAATAGGTAATGTATAGATAATGTCAGGTACAAATCAATACAGTTTGAGTCATCTAAGTACTGGGGAGAGAAGGCTCCATTTATGATGGAAATTATTTATTTATTATTTTTTGTTGACATATGATTTTCCACAAAGAATATTTCTTTCAGAGTTTTTATATATAAAGTTAGATTTGGAAGCATATTTTTAACACTGCATAAGTGAATATGTCTCTTCGCAGCAATGATTATGTGATTTAGTAGTCTATTTTCACGTTGAGTACCAAACCAAATCATGTTTTTGATAATTTCAACAAATGTGGATAAAAATTGTTAAGCCAAATTTGTAGGTTTATCCAAAAGGTTTGAGTCTCCTGACATTCCCAGTACACGTGACACACACTCTCACTTACATCTTTGCAAAAACAACACAAACTGTTGTCAACTTTTTTCATTTTGACCAATTCCTTTTTGTGTGTAAATAATGCCTTGTAGAAAAATACATTGAAAGTCTATAAGCATTGTATCTTGCATTCTCTTTCTATATACTGTAAATATATTTTTCCAATCAAAGTCAGTTTCAGGAAATAAATGTTACCATTTATTACAAATGTTTGGATATTTATCAATTCAAATAAGTTTATCATAAATAATTCTGCAGCCTTTTGATGCTTTTACTAAATTTATCTGGCATTGGTTAACATTCAAATTACTGACTGGAATAGAGAGACTTTAAAGTATGTTTCCAAGATTCAGGTGATATGTTCAGTAAATATCTGAAATCTTAAAAAGTACCTTTGATATGATACTTTTCTTTTAAAGATTCTATTGATAGTAATCCATTCTCATCACATATATCCCTAATATTCATAATCTTTTTCTCTGCCCAATTCTTTATGAAATATGTAGAGTTTTTGAAGTTGTGATTGAACCATAGTGGTTGGGATGGAATTTCATTAATGTTATTTGGGTCAACATAATGTTGTTTGGGAAATAGTTTCCATGTTTTAACACATCATGCCAAAAAGGGTTTTCAATCTCAATAAAAGTTTCAGAATTTGCTCAAAAATTAAAAATATCTTTGAAAGGTACATTGCATGGATTTTTATTTTCTTATTTTTTAAAATATCATCTTAAGGCTGATAATTTCAAAGCATCAATAAATCTACTTGTATCAATCATTCTCAATCCTCTTTCTTCATATTTATTTTTTAATAAACTAATAAGAGAAGTAATAAATTCTGCTGGTGAGTTGGGCAAAGAATTGAAAATATGAACTAGTTTGGAGATTGCTAGGGTTTTTATTACTGTTATTTTACCAATAAGTGTTAAATGTCTTTTTCTCCAAGATGCCAAGAGTCTATTAATTTCTTCCAGTCTCTTTCTAGTGTTGATTAGCCATAGGTTTTCAAGATCTGGTGTAAATTCAATACCTAGTACATCAAATGCACCAGTTACCCATTCAATTTTCAGGTCATTACATATTTTATCAGTAGATTTAGCTTTTGATCCAATCCAGATTGCTTTTGATTTATCTAAATTTATTTCAAACCTGACATTTTATAAAATGCATTAATTGTGTTGATAGCAAGATATAAACTGTCCTCAGTTCCATCAAGAAATAGTTCAGTATCATCAGCGCATTGATCCAGTTTATATTCCTTATCATTGATGACAATACCTTAATGTTTTCATTGTTTCTTAAACAGTTAGGATGTTATTAACATTGATTATTTGTCCACGGTGGTGGACTGAGTACCACCAATAAGTACCACTATCGACGATATTTCCGAATATCGATCATCGAAAAGCCAGCCCTATTCCACCACCGTGGTCTGCCTCTATATTATGCTCAGGATGATGTTTTGCTAATAATCCATGGAAAAACATGTCACCACTCACCAGTACTCATAGTTACGTCTCCGATATTCTCGGTAATCGATCGATATTTATTTATCGATTATCGATATCTAAGATCTATACTGATAGATCTGTGAATATATAATACATGTATACCCAAATAACCAGCATAACATTAGTATTAACTTTATATCATTATTGTATGTTTTCGACAAAACGTTTCCTCCTATTTCCTTAAGATATTCAATGTCCTGAGATGGGTCTGGTGAAGGTGTGCATCACCGTGGTGCTGCCTCTGGTGGTGTACTGTGTGTGTGAACCCGGGCTTCAGGCCTGTGAGTGGGAGTCTTGGGGTGTGTGGAGCTCCTGCACCAGAACATGTGCTGGGCTGAGAACCAGAACACGGAAGATGTGCTGTGGAGTTCACCTTCCAGACTGTATCGGTAAATGTGACCGACCCAACACGTCTGTGGAGACAGAGCCATGTGCGACACACTGCCCCAATGGTGGAAGCTACATTGATGGCTACTGTCACTGTCCTCCTCTCAGATATGGAATTTTGTTGTGAACGAGGTGAGAGTTATAGGATAATAATCAGCTTTTCGATTAACCCTGAAGTTTGTTTCTCAAGTCACCAAGCCCTGTTTGTTACTAACTTACTGTTTTAATGCAGCATTACGTTTATCATGAGTACCAGTCAGCATCTGTTTGTTTTAGATGAAATGTCTATGATGTATAATCTATATGACAAATATATTTATCTATATTACGTCTGTGTGTGTCAGCTCCACACGTGGGCCATACCCGCAGCGTATACGGACAACAACGGTATCAGTACGACCTCGCGAAGATGCCCATATTTCATCATGTACACAGAATAAGCTCAACATCGTTCATAAATTTCTCTTCTCTAGTGCCAGCCAATGTACGGAGAACGTGTTTGTTTACCCTGTTCACACTACACAATGCGGCAGTGAAATATTATTGGAAACACATAACATAAAGTGCTTTAATGCAAAAAATCTGAATAGCTATTATCTTGAAAATGTATGGTGTAGCTAATGCAATGTACTAATGCAAACCCAAGCTAGAAGACTGGTTAGTTGAGCTCCAAAAAAATGAACATCAGATAAACACCAATGTAGTAGCTACAAGGTCACCCTAACAAACATCCTATTCATGTTTACCAGACGAGTCAACTGCGTTTGATGGTGGCTGTGCCCGACACTGCACGTGGATGAACTGGTTGTCATGGGGAAACTGCAGCACAAACTGTGGATGTGCAACACGAACCAGGAAAAGATGGCACTGTTGTCAAAGCGGGTTGAGCAGTACTGAGTGTACAGCTGATTGCAACTTCCGGGACAACAGCACTGAAGAGAGAGTCTGCACTAAACACTGCACCGGGAATGGTAAGGGGTGGGGTCATAGACTGAAACAGTTATACTGTATGTGTCACATAAAATCCTAAGCGTTTGTCATATACAAGTCGAATTATTGATCATTTATTCATCATTGTTATCCTTTCCTACCGCTCCAACTTCTAAATGTCTCTCAAACAAGCTAATACAAAAACCACCAGGCCATGCTGTCAGTGTGTTGTAAGTGAGAACTGTCATATGTATATATACACGGTCACGATCTAAATGAACATTTGGTTGAAACCTTCAAGAAGGCCACACTATGAAGAAATATGTAGTAGACAGTGCTAGAGACATGGTATGGAAGTACTCAAATGGTTACCACAGTCAACCGCGTTCCTGCTACAATTCACCATCTCGCGTCAATTTGTGCAATTTGCTTACAGTTTATCCCTTCCATCTCTAATATGCGAGGTCCCATGCTTGTCGTAAGAGTCGACTAACGGATAGAACTCGCTGACTTGGTTGACTCGACAACAATGACATTAACAATAGTATAGAAATATGTACAAACTTAATGAGTGCATTTAATAAAGTGAAACGACAAAACCCTTTCCACATCCATAAGAAATCTCTGCTAAATGTCGATTTTGCAATTGTGACTATGTTATGAGCATATATTTGTTTCAGCAGTATTACAGCTGTATGACGTTGTTGTAAACCAATAAAAAACGAAACATATCAATTCCAAGAATATACTATCTTCACGTAGACAAGAGTCAGACTTGCCAACTTTGTTCCTGGAACGCCTGGCAACCATGGAGCAGTTGTAGCCAGACGTGTGGAGGAGGACAAAGGTCAAGGTCACGGTCACCTTGTTGCTGTGAAGGCCAATCCAATAAGGACTGTCTGTTTGACTGCCGGTTGTCGGAGAACGACTCAGTTCAAACCGAGAACTGCAGTGAAATTTGTTTAAACAACGGAAGCTTCTCAAGTAGCATCTGTCACTGTGGACAAGGCTATTCTGGATCTTGCTGCACTGAGGGTAGGATGATTCTTTATGTGTTGATTGCTGAGTATGGCGCGACACCTGATCATACTATTAATGCCATAAAGAGCATCCTAGATGTGTACCCGTGAAGATCCGGGTTAGAATTGATCTTCAGTAACCAATGCTTGTCGTAAGAGGCGACTGTCGGGATCGGGTGGTCAGGCGCACTGACTTGGTTGACACATGAAATCGGTTCCCAATTGTTCAGATCGATGCTCATACTGTTGATCACTGGAATGTCTGGTTCCGACTCGATTATTTACGGACCTCCGCTATAAAGCTGGAATATTGCTGAATGCGGCGTAAAACTAATCTCACTCACTCTTGGATGTGTACGTACACGAATGGTTGTCATTGGTATAGAATGAACTCCAACTGTGTCCTAAGCCACACAAGGGCAAGGAACAGCCAGAATACACTTCTTTCATAGTGCTCATGTCGAAGGTCTTCTTCGCCTCGAGGGCTATGAATAGAATTCGTATCCCTTCATTATGGCTTTTTATTTATAGAATTTTGAATGAAACCTTTCTAATTTCATTTCAGAGGTAACTGATGGCAAGTGTACAAAATGCACCTGGGGGATGTGGGGACGGTGGGGACCTTGCAATGACTCCAAGAACGGGGAGGTAACGAGAAGGAGATCCCTCTGCTGTCGTGTGGGACAGAAGGAGAACGAGTGTTACGCCCAGTGTAAGCGAGAGAGACATGGAGCTGTTGACGTGAAACAATGTGACCTGTTTATAGTGAAAGGTAGGTCAACTGTGAAACAGTTAAATATAATAACGATGAATGCCGTCACTCTTATCATGGTCGTGTCAGATGACATAAGGGGCGGTGGGGTAGCTTAATGGTTAAAGCGTCCGCTTGTCACGCTGAAGATCAGGGTTCATTTCCCCACTTGGATACAATGCGTGAAGCCCATTTCACGTTTCCCTTGCCGTTTTATTGCTGGAATATTGCTAAAAGCGACATAAAACCATACTCACTCAATACTCATGACACAATTGTCGTGTCGGACACAGTGTTAGTATATACCATATATGTTCCCAACTACCATTCCAGAACAGAGTCAACATCGATCATCGGAAGTTCTTGAAAGGCATTTAAATGTTGGACGAACAATGTATACTTCAGGATGTAATGGCATATTATTTAATGTGATGTTTATATTGTTAACATTTTCAGACTCAACCCAACTTCACTTTATGTACACCATCATTGCCTCTGTCGCATCCATTGTCCTCACGTCGTTTGTCTGGTAAGTATGATACTGCCATGTGTACCTCTCCGAGTGAGTGAGTGAGTGAGTGAGTAAGTGAAATGTTTATGTCCATTGTACGATTCCGACTAAATCATTATGTCACCTGCGGCAGACGCTGTAGTTACCACAAACCTCACAACTGATTTCAATCCAGACAAGGACTCAAAGTCTACAAACACAGATACAGAGGGTCTTACTGACGAAAAGACAATAGAAAGCAATGTCACAGTGTAAAGTATAAGAGAAGCTGTTTTAGATAGTGCCAATATTCTTTTTTCAGGGCTGGTGTTTATTGCATCAGGAACAGGAAGGGTAGAGTGTCACCAGGCCAGCAAAGATCTTGCGATGTCAACTGTCCAGCTGAAATGGACAACTATACCAGTCTACATGCTGACGGGAGAGACGTAGCTCGCAACGTCAGCCAGAATACATGTTACGACAATGATGCATGTGAGCCCGTGTATGAAAACCCACAAGACCTGTTTATGTAATTCGCCAATTTTTAGAGTCCCACGTCGTGACTTAGCTTGAATGTGGCTAAAGGCGGCGTAAAAATGCAAATACTATGAGGTATTAGATGAAGTTTAGCTCTGCAGAATGCTTTGGGACGATAAATATTCATTGCTATGAACAAACATTGCAATTTGGGGGTAGTTGCGAGGTAAGTATTATGAATAGTCGTTTTCAAAGGGAGGCTACTCTAGTCTGTTCAACTTCGTGTTTGTTTAGATTTCCGGCCAAATTGTTTCTTAACATGACTACAAAATAAAGACCGCAGTGAAAACCAAAACAAAAGCATTTTAAACTGTTTTTAATTCAGAAAAGCCTCAACGCCACTACGGTCTTACCCAGGAAGGAAGGGAAATAGTTTACACACATTCTTACTTATAAAGGTTTAAGTAAGATAAAATAAACCTTATAGTCGTAGCATTACATTTAAAACACGAATAATGTTAAATCAAGTTAATCAAAATATGGTGCTTACGAATTGGGTAATTGAATGATATTTGTATAATTTCTCTTTTCAGCGTCGTCTCGTTAGTATATTTTTTATGTTGATAGCAGGATCTGATTTCTGATTGTCACTGTCTCTGTAAATATAGGGCCACTCTTCCTTAATTCTGTTAAGAATGAAAGTTAGTCTTTCAGACACGGATTTGTTGCACATGTGCTGGACCCAGCAAAATATCTATCTTTGTTTTTAAGATGTCTTTGTTAACTCGTATTAACGATTTGTCTTTTAAAATTGTTATGTTGTTAATGTTGCTTACTTGTTATATAATTAATGCATTATCTTGTCCTAATGTATAGGTTGTTGGTGTTGTTGTTTCCCACTTGTGGCCTTGTAAACATCGGACATCAAACACAATGTTCAAACCAAATAGGGACCAACCATTTCCTGTTCCTTTAGAGAAGCTTTATTACCCTAAAACACCTTGTATTTCAGCACCAATAGAATGTCCAGTGAAAAAAAAGGAATCATATTATTTTTCTCAGACAGATATCAATCATTGCTTATATATGTGATCAAGTACAGTGTAAACAATATACCAATAACATACCAACAATGATTATGAAAGTTTGAAGATAAAACGTGAATAATGAACAGACATTTTCTTCAGAGACAATGAAGCGTTTCATGCATAATACTCATTGTTTCGTGGCTGTTTTTGTGTGTCTATTTTGAAGACTCTGACAAGAAGGTGAAGACAGATCCATAAATTATCATTACAAACAATGCACGGGTTGTTATCGAATTGTCTTCGTTTTCACCCATCTTTTAAGAACTTAAGAGGCAGCCCTGTTTAACTAACAATTGTTTCACATAAACATCAGCGACAATTTCAAAAGCCAATTTTCAGTTTGTATATATGACTTTGTATTCAACTCGCTACAAATATCCTGTTCAACATTCACTAGTTATAATATATGTTTACATTTATTGTTTATAATCTCTGTCATGTTTAGAGTTTTTTTATTTACATTTTGATTATTAATATCCATCCACCACCTTTGTATGTCAATACCTTTTACTTTTGCAATGTGACCCATGACTTCAGCATCTGTTTCACATCTTTGTTGTATAAGCTATTTGCTATTCACCATCGATATAATCTCTGTTACACGTACAAATGCATCAACAATGTATCGTATAGCTTCATAGTTTTATTGGTTTCCGTTTATGCAGATTAGAATAATATCTGTGGGGAACTGTTAACAATAGTTTTGGTTACATGTGTTTCATTTTTATCAACTATTCTTATGCATAGATGTCTCACAATAAAACCGCTTTTATTCCTTAAACACGTGGATTTTCTGATTTGTTCTGCAATCACAGCTGTATGGACAGTGTGTCTATAAGGAATAGAGAGTTTACATTACATATCCCTGCCTTCATGGCAGTTAGGTCAAGGCCAACTTGCAACTTCTATGATATGTTGGATTGTTACACAGTACATTGTTTCAGAAAAAAACATTTTTTCGCATTATTCATCTTAGGAGTTTTTTTCATCTAAACTATGCTTAAATCAGAACAAATAAGTTGTTTGCTAGACTACAGCTGTATCTGGAGAGGAAGTGAGAGCACGTGTTTGGGCAGTTTAGTTGTAGATCTGGGTCTGAATTGGTCTTCAGCAACCCATGCTAGTCGTAAGAGGCGACTAACCGGATTGGGCGGTCGTATCCCAATTGCATAGATTGATGCTCATGCTGACCACTCGATGCATCCGTCAC